AGGAAGGAAGGAAGGAAGGAAGGAAGGAAGGAAGGAAGGAAGGAAGGAAGGAAGGAAGGAAGGAAGGATGAATTCACTTTTTTTCTACATTACACCACACCTAGGTGCACCAGACCCAGGTGCCACTTCCATCAACCCCTTTTCTTCCAAATGTAACAGAAAAATTCAGCAATATACACACAAGCCCACCAAACCCCTTCCAAAAGAAACAAAAATTCAGCAATATACACATGAATCTATTCTTTCCTTTACCTTCTTTACCAGTATATTTACTCTAGGATGACTCTCTTCCAATAGTCAGCCAATCCACAAGGGTTAATCATTAATATATGCTGACATTGTGCTAGGCACTGGAGAGTTAAGTACAAATAGCCCCTGACCACAAGGCGCTTATATTCTCTTCCAGGGCTAAAATATATTCACAGAGAAGAAAGCACAAAGTATATACAATACAAATACAACATAATTTCAAGTAGAAGGCACTAAGAATTGAGGTAATTAGGGAGTTCTGAAGAAAGAAGCATTTGAGTTGAGCCTTGGAGGGAGCCAGTGACTCCAAGAGGTGGAGGTGAGGACAGAGAGCATTCCCAGCAAGAGAAATAGTATGTGCAAAGGCTAGGAGAAAGAAAGAAGGCCATACGCAGGCATTCGACTGACTCTGAGTTTGCAAATCTAGGTGACTGGAATAATGGCAGTGCCTTGAATAGAAACAGAGAAGGTAAAAGGGAGGTTGCTTTAAGTGGAAAGATGAGTTTTATTTTGGACATGTGTTTGAGATGCCTGTGGGATGTCCAATTGGAAATGTCTGACAGGCTGTTAGAGATTTGAGCTCAGTAGAGATACAAGGGCTGGATATGTCCACTTAGGAGTCATCTCTATAAAGATGATATTTGAACCCATGGGGCAGATGAGATCACCAGGAAGAATTATAAAGAGAAAATAAAAGCAGGCCCATAATAAAGCACTCATGCACTCAGTCAGGAAATTAATGATGAAAGGCATGGAAGAGTAGTCAGCCATTTAGGAAGAGAACTGGGAGGGAGCAGTGTCATGAAAACCCAGGCAGGACAGAGTATCAAGAAGGAAGCAGTGTCGATAATGTTAAATGCTGTAGAAATAACTCACAATGAATGAGAAAAGATCATATAATTTAGCAGGAAAGAGATCATTGGTGACCTTGAAGAGAACTGTTTTAGTCCAGTATGGAAGATAGACTGCAACAGGCTAAAAGTAGATAGTGAGAACATGAAGACAACCTCTCCCAGATGTTACTCCTCCAGGTGCCTTGGATCTGGGAGTAACAATTCAAGAGAGAGCCATAAGGCTAGGAATACAATTGGGGTTGTCTCCCATTGTTCCTGGAAGGAACTTTGATTCTCTAGGGCAGTGGTTCCACTCTTTCCCCGCTACCCCTGCAGTGGGTTGTGGCATGATTCCAATGGGACTGTGGCATTAACCCAAAGTTAAACTGAGAGTGGAAAGATGGAACATATTCCACTTTCCCTATATCTGATGATCTTAGGGCTTGTTACCCACACAGCCTGCCACCCCTTCATCCATTATCATCCAACATTCCTAGATTCTGTCCCCTGCTATGGGGCCTATGCAAGATTCCATCCTTTTCCCTTCCTTTCCATGCATCACACTCAAGACAGTTGTGACCTAAGACCAGGGCACCTATACTGGCCACTTCTAGCATGTACCCAAACCTCTCTCCCAGATCATCCTGTGACTATTATAGGGGTGGTGTTTTTTTATTCCTGTGCAGTAGGTGAATCCATTCCATTTTGGGTAGAACAGAATGAGTTAGGCAGGAGGAATAAGAGTGAAAGATGGGTTGTGATCTATATCCTAAATCTCATTACATTATCTTTATTCTTCTAGTTTGAGATGCAACAAAACTTGGATCAATTCTCTGCTGCTTGTGCTAATTTTGACCTAACAATTAGCACCAAGAAAACACAGGCTCTCCACCAGCCAGCACCACACCATCCAGATGTGGAACCATTAGTTACAGTAAATGGAGAAATTTTGAATACTGTGGATAAGCTCACTTACCTTGGCAGTATACTTTCCAGGAATGTCCACATAGATGATGAGGTTGATACTTGCACTGACAGAGCTAGCTCAGTGTTTGGGAGGCTCCAAAGGAAAGTGGGGGACAGAAGACATACTAGGCTGCAGACCACAGTCTACAGAGACACTGTGCTGACCCCATTGCTGTATGCCTGTGAAACCTGGATAATATACCAGCACCATGCCAGGAAACTGAATCACTTCCATTTGAATTTATTTAGGAAGATTCTGAAGATCACCTGGCAAGATGAAATACTAGACACTGAGGTCTTTTCTTGAGCTAAAATCTCAAGCATCCAAACTTACTGCAAAGAATGCAGCTCTGATGGACTGGCCACATTGTTTGAATGTACAGCATACATTTGCCTAAAACATTATTTTACAGAGAATTCACACAAGGCAAGTGCTCTCATGGAGGGGAAAAGAAGCAACACAAAGACACTCTCAAAATCTCTCTGAAGAACTTTAGAATCAATTGCATGACATGGGAGACACTGGCAAGGGACCACCTAGCCTGGCATGTCTGAATCAAAGAAAGCACTGTGCTTTATAAGCGAAGCAGAATTACAGTAGCTCAAAAGAAATGTGAGATGCACAAATTTAGAGACATGTCCACTCCAAATGTTCATGTGGACTATTTGTGCCCAACTTATAATAGAATCTTCCAAGCTTATATTCATCTGATCATCCACGGTTGGATACACTGTACCTTGATTCCAACATGGTGATATCATTTTGGTCTTCATTGAGAATGAAGCTAACTAATTTTATGTGGGGTGAGATAATCGATGATTGACTCAATCAACACTCACACTTAAACATGTCAGCATTTTTCAACATATTAAATGTAGCCAATTTTTTTTCTTCTTCCTCTTTAAAAAAAGTCTTTGTTAAAAGGAATGGATCTGGGTTTTTGTTTGTTTGTTTGTTTGTTTTTCTGTTTTTGTTTTTGTGTTTTAGTGAGGCAATTGGGGTTAAGTGACTTGCCCAGAGACACACAGCTAGTGAATGTTATGTGTCTGAGGCCAGATTTGAACTCAGGTACTCCTGACCTCAGGGCAGGTGCTCTGCCACTGCATCACCTAGCTGTCCCCAGGAATGACTCTTTGGGAAGTAAATAGGAAGAGAGATACAGGGAAGAATCCAGGAATTTGAAAACAAGAGATAATAAGGATAAACTTGAAGCCTTTCTGATAAGATCAGTAAGGCTATCCATTATCATCACTATCATTCAATATTGTATTAGAAATCCTAGCTGTAGCAATAAGAGAGGAAAAACAACTTAGAGGAATAAAAATAAGCAATGAGGAAACAATACTATTACTCTTTGCAGATATGATGTTATACTTAGAGAACCCTAGAGAATCAACTAAAAAACTAGTTGAGGGACAGCTAGGTGGTACAGTGGATAGAACAACGACCCTGGATTCAGGAGGACCTGAGTTCAAGTCTGGCCTCAGACATATAGCACTTACTAGCTGTGTGACCCTGGGCAAGTTACTTAACACCATTGCCTAGCCAAAAAAAAAAAAAAACCAAAAACACAAAACAATAACTAGTTGAAACAATTAACAACTTTAACAATGTTGCAGGATAGAAAATAAATCCACATAAATCATAAGAATTTGTATATACTACCAACAAAATCCAGCAGAAAGAGAATGAAATTCTCTTCAAAATAACTGCAGACAATATAAGATGCTTGGGAGTCTATGAGCCCAAACAAAACCCAGAAACTATATGAATACAATTACAAAATATTCTTCACACAAATAAAGTCAGATCTAAATAATTGGAAAACTATTAATTGCTCATGGATAGTCAGTACCAATATAATAAAAAAGACAATTCTACCTAAGTTAATTTACTTATTCAGTGCCATACCAATCAAACTGCCAAATAATTATTTTATAGAGCTAGAAAAAATAATAACAAAATTCACCTGGAAGAACAAAAGGTTAAGATATCAAGGGAATCAATGAAAATAAAATGTGAAGAAAGGTAACCTAGCAGTACCAGATTTAAACTATATTACAAAACAGTAATCATGAAAGCAATCTGGTACTGGCTAAGAAATAGAATGATAGATCAGTGGAATAGATTAGATACATAACCCACAGGAGTAAATGGGCATAGTAATCTGGTGGTTAATAAACCCAAAGATCCAAGCTTTTGGGTTAAAAATGTACCATTTGACAAAAGTTGCTGGGAAAAAGGAAAACCGTTTGAAAAAACTAGTCATAGACCAACATCTCCCACTGTATACCAAGATAAGGTCAAAATGGATAAATGATTTAGACATGAAAGGTGATATCATAAGTAAATTAGGGGAGCATGGAAAAATGTACTGGTCAGATCTATGGATAAGGGAAGAATATATGATCAAATTAGAGATAGAGCATTTTGTGGGAAATAAAATGGATAATCTTGATTACATG